GAGTAGTTGGCGTTGGGTTTGTTTAATGAGATGGTTTCCGGCGTATCCTGTTTAGCTACGATTTTCCTTCTCCGATTCATTTGTTAACATGTTTCTATGTTACCACAGAATTGACGCCATCCTGTCGAACGTCGATAACTAATACATTTTCTGTACTCAGACTTAGCTTTCTTGTATAGTACCCTGTCTTCATCCATTGAGGTATTCATGGCCCTATTTAGGATTTTTCTTACCTTCTTGCGTTTTTCTCCTTCTATTGCAAGTGTGAGATCAATTATTGTGCGACAACGTTTGTTTATGAAAGTAGGTTCAGAAGCTGTATTTAAAATGGTTAGGTTAGTGGTTAGTGCTAAAGAGATATTCAACTTCTTGGTTAATACCTTACCTCGTTCTTTGGGTTTTTACTTTTCCCAGAAGGGATGATGCGCGTAGGATTCCGTCCCGATCACAACCTCTAGTCCAGTCCTCTCGCAGAGATTCACCAGCCTGACGAGATCATCAGGGGTAGGGGTGCCTTCCTCCAGCATATATACCGAGGCGATGACTGGTCTTCCCTCCTGTGTATTTTGTCTCTGGAACAGACATCTGTTAATGGTTTTGCACAAATATCTTTAGTATTATCTACAACGCTGAGCACGATAAGCCTAGAGCATGTATTTGCTCTAGGCTTATCGTGCTCAGCGTTGTAGAATAACTTACCATTTAGGTTGTTTAGGCCTTTGATTTTACCAACCCATGGCTCCTGGATTAAGGCTATGGCCGTCCTTTGGGCCTCCAACCACTTGAGTGATTGAGCCGTCATAGTTTCGCCGTAGTGGAGGTTGGTCTGCACTAGGCTAGTTCTGGACGAAGGGCACGCCATCATTATTCGCGTCCTCTCCGACCCCGCCCAAAAATATGCCTGCTAGCAGATCCTGTGTCTCATCGTTAGCCACCGAGTCGGAATTGGACGGCAAAATGCAATCCTCTGCGCCACTCAGTGAGCTGCTGCTGAACTCGATCTCTACTGGTGGCTTCGGCTCAGTTGTGCAGGCCGTTTTGTTACTGGACTTGGCAGCCAGTGATTCCGTTGTACCGGTAACTATAGCCCCGGTATCCATGACTTCCGGGTCGTTTTCTGCTTCTTTGCTTGGTGGAGTATCAAAAAATTCACCTCCACGGCCCTGGAATTTTACGTAGACCGGCCCACTTGCACATGCGAGAGGGCGTCTGCCTTTCATCAGGGTCGGGATATGATCCTCCGGCACCGAAACAATGAGGAACTACCCCTCCGTCTGCGGTTTACCCAGCGATTCTGCTACGCCAGCACACGACCGATGTCGCTTTCGTCTTTCCAGGCTCCCTAGGCATCAGGGATAAGGATACCACACTTGATTCTCTGTGGTATCTCTGACTGCTTCTTGATGATTAGCGAGGTGTTGGATTTAAGGTCGAGGGTGTCAGTGTTCCCCTTCAACCAATCCAGAACCGTTTCATCATCGTACCAAAGCTTCAAGATACCCTCCGTGTAAACGGGTTTGCCTCTAAAAACTGGGCCCGACGCATCAGGATCCTGGCTACTCCAGGCCTTGCTTCCTCTGTATTGCCACGAGGATTTCGTCAGTTACTTCCTTCGTTATGTGACCTGAATACGCACACGTTAAGGCCACACCCGGAAGCGTAGCTGGTTCTTGCAGCCTTTGGTTGCTTTTTGTGCTCGCCTCTCGGCGAGGTAGACTGTTTCATCATCCTTTTGGCTGCTCTTTCCTTCTTGCCAGGACTCTTGGTCGCTCTCTGCTTCCTGACGGATATCTTAGAGCTGGTCTCTGCGGCCACGCCTTTCACTTGGGATGGATTCTTGGATTTTACACCACTACCGGTTGGAACAGACCCACCTGATGGTCCGTCAGGTTGGCAAGTCACCTTTTTGGGTGCCTTACCCTTCGCCTTACAGCTCGCCACTTGTCAGGCAGCAGAGAAAAGATCGTCCGCTCTCTTGGGGTGCGCAGGAGTTTTGCTACTCGCGGTCCCTTGCTCTTTTCTCGCGTCCAGCTTCTCAGGTTTGGAACTGGTTTTATGAATATCCAGGGCGGAAATTTCCACCTTGGTGGGGCCACCTACGTTGGATAGTGCAGTCCGTGGAACCATCGGCTTAATGGCGGTTGCTCCTTGTTCATTGGCGTCTATGGTAAGCACCCCTGACACCTCCTTTTTTCTTAATGAGCCTTAAATTGTCCATATTTTTATATGCTTAAAATTCATCCCACTGGCTTCCCACCTTCCATGGCTATCTGTGGCTAGCAGATAGTGCCACCGTTTAGCTTGAAATCCGGACCAAAGCGGGCGTGCTGCCTCATGCCACTATATACACCAGTGACAATCGGCTCAACCCTCCAGGACTCCTTCATAACCACGAACGGCGCTCGACTGCGCAAGTCCTAACGCAGGTGGGTGTGTTAGTTCACCGTATATACCCACTCTCTCCGACGGAACCACCCCTCCTCTTTTATCCGGGCTTGGGACCGGCTGCACCAAAAAGTACAGACAGAGTTAATTTAGCTAATTTCTAACTAGTATTAATCGTACAATTTCATAAGTAAAGTAAAAATAAATTATAAACCTAACACACGTTAAAGAAATCTTGTGTACGAGTATAATTTTCGTACATTTATTGAATGTTAGTTATTGTAGACCCACAGATTAATGTTTCCACATTTTTAACATGGAGTTAATTTAGGTAATTCCTAACTAGTATTAATCGAACAATTTCATAAGTAAAGTAAAAATAAATTATAAACCTAACACACGTTAAAGAAACCTTGTGTATAATTTTCGTATACATATACTAACACAAGTTTTAGTTATTGTAGACACACAGATTAATGTTTCCACATTTTAACATGGAGTAATTCTTTATCTAAAATTTACATTTTTAAATCTACTGAACTCACTGAGGTTGATTTATATTTTAAATAAATATTTTTTTTACATTTATACGTTTCTTATTGCAAATAAAAAAATACCTTTGGGAACCTTTGCATAGGTATATTTGCGTAGACTATTGTGATTAATTTGAAATTATCTAATTTCGTTATCTTTTCATGTAAATTATATTTAATGGAAGATGCGTGACAATATGTTGTTTTAAACTATGCATTCGATGGCTAAATTATCATTGTGTCAGCACTCAGCAGTGTCAGGGGTCAGATTAAATTATCAATAATAAAACTGAGTTTGTAGGTATTGCCAACTTTACTTAAAAGAATGGACTGATTTTGCAAAGAAAATCTATCAGTATACTCCCACCTAATTTCAATAACATAACAGAACAGATGGTTTGTAGGATAATTTTTATAGCATATGTCAAAATCATATCGTAGTCAATTAAGGCTTATCAATCTTATGAACGTCAAGAAAATTACGTATCACATTTGTATCTATTTCATAAGTTTCAACGTTTTGACGTGAGAAACACGTTCGTGGGTTTCGCATTACGCAAAATTCTAAACTTTTACACAGCTTGTTTAGAATCTTCTGTTAGAGTGAGAGTAGAATGAATTGCGATCACCATGCTTGACTGGCAGAACATATATCAGACGCTGCATTTTTAAAGCCAGAAGCAAATACCTAGGTGGTTTAGTTCTAGAAACAGACTATTAACAACACTATTGATATACATTTATTTTTTTACTACAATTAGACCGTTAAAGAATTAACTATTATATATACAAATAACCAATAAAGTTAATTAGACTATAAGTGAAGGTTGAATAACACTTCTGATAATTCAGCCTTTTCTTTTCCAATGGCTATTAATATCCACGTACACCTGCACCATTTACAAATGCGTTTATCAAGAAAAATGGAAGAGGGTCGTAGCCTTCAATTTAATCGTTGCCTTTTGCTGCTATTTGTAATCAAAATCCTGGAAGTTGTCGGCGTTTCACCAGTTTCACCTCCGTGCCTCGGAAAGCCTATAAAGCCGTGGGCTTATGAGGAATTAGAGAGTTCACTTGTGTTTGCGTGCACATTCGTGCACTAAAGTCGTGTCCTGCGCAGTTGGTCTAGGCTCCATTGGAAAATACGACTTGAAGCATATGTACCATAAATCGCTAATTTACTCTGTTTGAAGCTTTATTAATTCTGGTCCCAAAGTGCCTGGGCATTGATTAAAAGCTCAGAAAATAACAAATATTGCAAAGTATATTATAAATTTTTTATTATGTCTTGAAAACAATAAAAGCATAACTTTCAGTTACAATACACATTAGGTAGTATACATTTCATTAAATCATTAATACATTCAGTGATTTAATACTTGGTCGCCGACGTTTAAAATATATTATTACCGATTGTATTCATTGTTGATTTTAATTTCAATTAAAAAAGTTAAATACTGATTATATGAATCAATTGTTATTATGGTACTACCGACCAATTTTTCGGAACCGCTTAAATTTTTGTATATGTACCTATGTGTATTTATTATGTATTTTCTCGGAAACGCTCTCTATTCGTACTAAAATAGTTCATTTATAAATGTTTAACTTTTCAAGTTTATCTGGATAAAAGAGATTTAAATAATCTGGATAGGTGTCATCACTGAGAAAATTCTATTTTAACGGACATCAAAAAGGAGGAGGTAGTCAATTCGACTGTTTTTTTTTAAATGTGTGTTACCTATAACTCTTTTTCTAGGTGAACCGATTTTGATGATTATTTTTTTTATTTGAAAGCTGGTGCTTCGTGTGTAGTTCCATATAAATTTGATCAAGGTCTGACCAGCAGTTTCTGAGCACTTCATTTTTAATTTTACCATTTGTTTTTTCATACGCCCAGCCTAATTCTGTTGGGACTACTATAGTTAATACTTCTTCATTATTCAGTTTCACTCCATTCCACCTTTGATTATTGACCTTTTAAGAATGCGCCATTTGTAGCTAAATGTAAGACTAGATAACGCTTTGAACTGCAATTTAATAATTAATAAACCTATTTTCATTTGGTCTGTTTTTTTCCAGTTGCTCGAGATGTTCGGCTCAGGCACCGCTGTAGTCATAAGTCCCATCAGTCGGGTGGGTTTCGTCGACAAAGAAATATACATTCCTACAATGAAACAACCACAGCCCGTCTTTCAACGGGTCAAGGACACGTTGTTGGCGATCCAGTATGGCCACATAGAGCATCCATACGCCGTCGTCATATCATAGTGATAGATATTAGGCTTTAGCCTATGTTTACTTGTGTGTTACGTAAGTGAATTGTAAATACTAAAAGTGGATTCGGGCGCAACAAACAATCGTGTGGACAACTCTCGGCTAAAAATGGCGATTCAGAACAAGAACTAAGTATCGCGACTCGTAATTATAATGTGAACGTTTAAATAAGTACCTAGTTTACTGGATGATGACAAGACTATTATAATGTGGAGGGATTTAACTTGCGTAATGTTCCTGCGAACTTTACTGAAAAAAGGTTATATAATAGCATGAAAGCAAGTGAAAAGGGCGCATTCACGTACTGCTGCCAGTTGATTATCTTTCACGCCCGAGTGCTGCCAAACTGTCACCATACCAAGAATAACAAACAAAATACATTTATTCCCTTATTTAGTTAATGAATTGCTATTTAACTTTATGTGTAAATTATCGAAATGACGAAATAGATAGGCTAAGTATTTATGTAAAATTGTTACATATTAATATCAAGCCGATGTTAAGATTCTCAGGGTCAGGGACCGCTTTAAAATGCTTGCCATTAATTTAATTAGCGGCTTAGAAAAAATAAAGGTCATGAGTGCGGGATTAATATGTATTAATATGTATGATTTCAGTTTAGATCAAGGTGTGTTTGTTAGTAGATAGGTTCCTTGTAAGATATTCCTATAGTCTTAAGTACAAAGCAAACGGTGTATTGTCGTTGTATTGTCTTCAAATTTGTTATATCAATACTCATAATAACATATCGTATTAATCAAACCATTGTGAAGAACAAACAGGTTTTTCCCAGAAATCTCATTATAACATAACATAATATTTGTAAATGAAATACGTCGCATCAACAAATAAGAATACGAAAATAAGTTGTTATTCTCGGTTTATACTTTCTAGTGTTGAATAAACGAATATTTGTTTAGTGTGATACTAAGACAAATATTTGAACAACATCATTTTTATCAAGTCATACCTACATATATAGCCTTTGCCAAGGTTGTATATAACTTTTTTTTCATTATATTTACATACATTACAGACAAGCTCACAACATTAAATCAGCGCAGTAAACTTGTTCCTTTTAACCAGTAATTTGCTTTTCTAGTCTAAGAATCTGTAAATTTGTTGAATATTTATAAAATATATAACGAATAAAACACGGCCTTTCATTTCCTCATCAGCCTTCAGCCATCAGTCCACGGCTGGACATAAGAATAGATTTGTTATACCACCAAGCGTGTCAGGTGCATTAGCGATCGCAGCACCAGACGCACCTTTGACGGTGCTTACCTTCACCGGTCTGGGTATTTAATGTATGGCGTAAAAGAGTAGACTGTACCGCCATCTATTGGAAGTCATAATGCTATCTTTCTAGTATTTCCCATAGCCACCTCTTAAGACACCCGCTAAACGAAATGAGGTGATAGATTCTCCAGACGGCAAGGACTTTCAATGTTTTATTTTTAAACAAACCTCACACTTGAAATTCCTCTTGTTTCGTAAAAGCAGCGCTTCAGCCAATCTCAAACACTGTGCTTACGAGCCGTGAAGTACTTAGGTATATGAGTTACTATAGGTAATATTTATTTTAATAAAAACTACGTATTTCAACCAAGGCACTTCACAAAGGCGAAAATGCCTTTCACAACACATATTATCGAATTATATCAATTTATAGACTATTTGTAGAAGTATATTACATAACATAATATAAAAGTTAACTGTTATATATAAAACTGTTAAAATAAAATAGTAATTTTTATTGCGAAAATATCCTAAAAGTGGTAATAGAACAAGAGTACGTGATGCCAACCTTCCTTATTTTATAAAAGCTGAAAGTTCAATTACCTCCATACTCTCGCCCACCTCATGGCATTCCTAGAGCAAAATGATCTCCTCAGTGATCGCCAGTACGGGTTTTGCCCAAAATTGATCAACTGGGGACCTTCTAGCGTATGACACTCACATATGGGGCGAAGCCCTCGAGAACAGTGGTGAAGCACTTGCTGTTTCCCCTCGATGTTTCGAAGGATTTTGACAGGGTTTGGCACGCTAGTCTATTTTGCAAGCTTTTAGCGTACGGCTTATCCCCTGGCCTGCTTGTCTGGATGGAGGACTTTCTGAGTGAACGGTCTCTCCGGGTCGTCGTCGATGGCTGCCCGTCCGATACTATGGCGACTAACGCCGGTGTTCCTCAGGTGTCCGTTCTCTTCACAACTCTCTTCCTGCTGCATATAAATGATCTACCCATTCCCGGTATCTATAGGTGTACAGACGACAGCACAGTTCTGAAGAGATACCAACCAAGTGCCCGGGCCACTCGTCCAAAATCGAGCCTGAAAGATAGGCTATGGTTAAGCATGTGAATCTCACACTACAGGCAGTCTCCGTAAGGGGTGATGCCAATCTCGTGAGATTTAACGCCTCCAAAACGAAAATGTGTCTTTTCACCGTTAAAAGGAGCCCGCTCACCTTGGTTCCTACTTTCCGGAATGTATCCTTGGAGTACACTGGCCGCTTTCAGTTGTTAGGAGTTGAATTTTCTCCGACCCTCAACTATGGGCGGTTCATTGAGTCCAGAGCCAAAGCCGCCACAAGGAAACTTGTTGTCCTAGCAAGGGTGCTTCACGCCGGGGCAGCTTCTTATCTTATATAAAGCGTAAGTCCGGTCGTGGATGGAGTACTGCTATCACATATGGGCTGGTGCTGCAAAATGCCACCTGGCAGCGTTGGACTCAGTGGAGAGACTTGTTAAGAGACTCAATGGTGATCTTGATTTGGATGAAACCAATCTTGTCAGCCTCGAGGACAGGCGCAGATTAGCCAGTCTCTCGGTATTCCATAGGATGCGTTTCGGTGAGTGTGCGCAGGAATTACACGCTTTAATTCCTCCCTCTCCTTTCCACCTTCGGACAACCAGGCGGTCGGCGGGTCTTCATCTCTTTGTTTTCGATATTCCACGCATTAGAACCAAACGGCTTGCTTCGTCTTTTCTAATAAAAATTCTAATAAATAGGAGAGGAGTGGAATAATTTACCGGCGTCTATCTTACCACCCGAATACAATCTGGGCGTCTTCAAGGCAAGAATGAATAGGCTTTTGGAACGTTAAGACAGTGTGATTTACCATCTAGGGCTGCATCACCACTTACCACCAGGTGGGATTGTGGTCAAGTATTAGATTATAATAAGTAAAAAAAAAATGTGGATCTTGAAGTAGAAAAAGTTGGAGATGAGAAAGTGAAATTAGAAAGAACGAATATCTTTAAATTGTAGAAAAAAGAAAACTATAAATACAACACAACACATACAGATAGAGAAACAACTCGTCGAGTAAGTCGCCGAATTATTCGTGGACGAGTACGACGCGTCATTCCTCTTTAGTCATTTAATGTAGATCTTTTACGGAACGTTTAGATACTCGCCGAGCACAGGACAGTAGGGACGTGTACGAGCTAGATATGAGCGCCGAAGGCCAATTCCACGGCGGCGGCGTGGCAAGAAAATTTCCTCAGCGGCGGCGCCGTCGCGGCGGTGCGGCGTGGCTGGCCATAGGTCTTAGATATTGTTTTATCAGGAAGAGATTTCTTAAAAAAAACCATGTTGTTGGTACCAAAAACAGCTTTGTATTTTTTAATAAAGCCCTGGGGAGTCCTAGCCCAGTGATGGGAACAGTATTCCATGTGAGGCCGAACCTGCGCCTAGGCTGTGTGCCAGCATGAAATACTGTCCCGCTCTGCTGAGCACGCCAAGCTTTTTAGAGGCCAATTTGGCCTTCTCTTCCAAGTGATCACAAAACTTGCACGTCACTCGATATGTCGACGCCGAGGATTGATCGACAATGACTCGACGATGATCTGAGGAGCAAAGAGGGGAGTGGACGGAGACCTGATATCTATTTGAATGAAATGTCAGCAGAAGGTCCAACAGGGAAGGTGCATGATCTTCCACGTCTGGAATCCCCGTAGGTGAGTTACCAGTTGTGTCAGACCATATGCCAAGGCAAAGTCATAAACAGATCTCCCCGCATGATTGGTTAAACACGAACCGAGCCATTCGGCATGGTGGGCGTTACGAGTACAATCGCCGGTATCACAACCTCTGCGGATGGGATCTGCTGTAGCAAGGAATCTGTAGCTATTTGAAAGTGGTCGATGAATCGGTCTATTTCGGCAATACCGCTATGGGATCTATAGAGGCTCCCGTAAACATGCGGATGGTCGTCGCTGTCTACGCGTAGCCAAAGGATGAACAGGTCCTTCAAGACTGCTGAGGCGTTGAGAAGCCCTCTCTGATGTATACGCAAACTCGAGCCCGAGGCACAAGGAGTGTTCCAATTTGTACCCCGGGTAGGAGAGATACGAAGTATCAGGCGGAGCTCGGTCAGAAAGAGTAAGGCCGGCTTCGCCGTCTCGAGATGGTAGTGGACGGCGTTTAGGTTCGAGTGAAGTTCCCTGATGTTGGAGAAAATCACCTGGCAGGGGTCGCCTTGGCCTTGTTGCCCAGCTTGCCCCGAGCAGTTTTTGTCTTGAGCGGAATTTTGCCCCCCTCCCTCAGAATACGTGGGGTAGGCTGAGCACCCAGGAGTGGTAAGTCCCTCCTCAGAAGTGGAGTAGCTTGAGAAGCAGATCTTCCTATATAAGCAGATAACTGTGGTAGAGCCACGCGGCAGTTTTTGCTGTTGCACGTATGGGCCGGCTCGAGCTGGGTTGGTACCACGACCTCACAGAATACCGGCGTGAAGTAGAAGCTCTGCTTCTGCGTTTCGTCTGGTGAGTGCAGGTGGCCGGAGGCCCAATTCCCCCCCTCCCCCCCATCAACATGTAGCGGAATTACACGAAAGACTACCCCAGGAGGATCCCTCACCAGCACCCCTGGAGAATCCCTCGCTGAGCATCCACGACCATGTTCTTATACTCCTGAGCGTGGGTGCTCATGCTGCCCCGCGTATTCTGGGAATCTGTCAGGTCGTGGTACCACCCCGGCTTGAGCCGGCCC